CCAATCAAATATGTGCTCTTCTTCATCAACGTGCGTCCAGACTGCGATATAGCCCCAATCACCGTCCACTGCCACACAAGTTATTGCCTGTGCAGAGGACTCTGGTTAGCAGTCCGGGTCAGGAGTTCCCTAGTCAGTGCCGTGAATCCACACACATCATGTTGAAGTCCGGTAGAGCAAATTTCGCACACTCATGAGTAGAGGGACTTGTGTTGAGATGTATTAAGTTATTCGCAATTAGATTATAAGCATGAAAAGCTAACCACTGAGCTGAAACTGCATCAGTACTGAGAAGGAATAAAATTAACCAAATGGCAAAATGATGTTCGGGTGAGTCGCGCCAACACTTCATCTAGAATGCTTCAATTCGATTGTAAGTTTGTTGAAAGCAACACAAACAAACGAATTGCCTCTTGAGTTAGGACCCCGTTGGACTGAAATCAACAAGACAAGGAAGCAACATGCTTGCTAATTACTAGTGATCGAAGAAAGTAGAAGCCACGATTAAAATTCACGCACAATAATATGCCTCGATGGGGGGTCGAACCCCGGTCCACGAATTTCCGGTCCGCTGCTCTACCACCTGAGCTACCGAGGGCTGACCGGGGTTCGACTCCTCGTCGAGGCATATTATTGTGCGTGAATTTTAATCGTGGCTTCTACTTTCTTCGAACTTTACACTACTCACAAACATCCACCATTAATCTACCATCGCCCATTGGACGTCTGAAGGACAGGAACTTCGGTCTATTGGGAAGTGACGGGTGAGTGAGCCAATCTGCAACATCAGGACAGGTACTGTGAGCTTATTGGCAACACGTCGCGCACCAAGCAGAAGACATGTGTTAAAATTTGCGCACCTAATCGTCAGCCCTCGGTAGCTCAGGTGGTAGAGCAGCGGACCGGAAATTCGTGGACCGGGGTCCGACTCCCCGTCGAGGCGTATTATTGTGCGTGAATTTTAATCGTGGCTTCTACTTTCTTCGAACTTTACACTACTCACAAACATCCACCATTAATTTAAATTACTAGTGAGTAGAAAGATTTTACATGTAATCCTTTAAGGTATTCACCCCAGTAGTTCACATGCTACATAACACAACCTAATCCGGAAGGAACCAGACGCGTTTCCCCATATTATAGCTCGTCAGTGGTGCGCATTGCCTCGGTCCCACTCTCGGGGTTCGAACCCATGACCGCTAGAGGCAGATGCCAACTAGCCAGCAGCTTAAGCCACCGAGCCATGGGGGAATTCGGCTGAGATACATAAGTTGCAAGATAACTGGGATATAGCACCACCAATCTTCCGCTGTAACTGACAGTGGCTAGCCTGCGAGGTGACGACGTCCTCTCGTTAGACGCTATATCGATAGCATTTTGAAACTAAGAGAGGTCATTTAGTTTATATTACTGGTGAGTAACGGGATTTTAAATGTAATCTTTTAAGCATTCTTTCAGTATTTCACAAGCTATATAGCCCAGCCTAGTCCAGAAAAGCACCAGACGCGTTTGCCAATATTAGGGCTCTTCAGTGGTGCGAATTCCACCGGTCCCCTACCGGGGATCGAACCCATGACCGCTAGAGGCAGATGCCAACTAGCCAGCAGTTTAAGCCACTGAGCCATGGGGATGTTGGCTGAGCTACATAAGTAGCAAACTGTCTGGAATTTTGCACAACCTATCTTACAATGTCATTGACAGTGGCTAGTCTGCGCGATGATGATGTCCTCTCGTTGGACAGTATATCCATAGCATTTTGAAACTAGGAGAGCCCCAATAAGCCGAAACGCGTCTGGTGCTTTTCCGGAGTAGGCTGTGCTATTTAGCTTGCGAACTCATGGGATGGATACCTGATAGGGATACTTGATGAGTACTGCAGCAGGTGAAAACCAGTAGAACCTGAACTAGTAGGGGCTGAT